CAGGAAAGGTAGCTGCTCGATGATTCTGTGCATAATTTCACAACTTGACTCAGGAATTAATGGAACGAATGGAAACTCAAGACCTGCCTGGTCTGTCCCTTCAGTGTTTGGGCCTCAGCCCCTGACCCCCTTTTCTGCGCACAGGGGTCTTAAGAGTGAGGAACTACAAATAAATCTGCTTTATAAACACAAAATAGAAAAACTGAATAGCCGCCCAGGATGAAGGTGCTTCATAAATCGTGTCACTATATATACAGCCATGGATGTTTACAATAATAAAGAACATAAGGGACACATATGTAATACTCTTTATAATACTTTAAGCAATAATAAAAAAAAAGAACATAAGGTTACTCATCAACTTTCTGTGTTTCAATGTTTATGCAATACGGTATTTGGAGCATCCATTCATAAAGGCATATAGGTAGGAGTGCACTGAAGTACTTTCATATACTACACAAGTTGAAACAGATTCCACTGAAAGTTTAGTACAAGAGTTAGTATGTGGGAGAGAGAAACCAAGATGGCGGCATAGGTAAACACCTGAAATTGCTGCCTCGCACAACCACTTCAAAAATACAACTAAAAGACAAAACGGACATCATCCAGAACCACAGGAAGGCTGGCTGAGTGGAAATTCTACAACTAGAAGGAAAGAGAAAAGCACGCTGAGACTCAGAGGAGGTGCGGAAGTAAAGTGCAGAGGTACGGAGCCGCACGCAGAAAGGGCTGGCAACTGAAGTGCAGAGGCGGAGGTGCATGCGGAGAGGTCTGGCTGCTGAGAACATGGTTGTCTTTTTCAATCAGGAGGGAGTCTCAAGCTCTGAGCTCCAGTTCCGGGTGAGTCTCTGGGGACCCAGACTCATATGGGGGGAAACTGTGGTGTCTGGCAGCGGGCAGAACTCGAGGGAGGCTTTCTCTCAGAGGTACTTGCAGCGATTACCAGGACACTGAGACGCGGGGCCTCTTAGGGTAAGACTGAGGAGCAGCCATAGCTGCTTGCTCCTCCCTGTTGATCCCATGAGACCCCGCCCCACCCAAGCTGTGCACAGAGGCTTTTGCATATGAATGCCCTGTGGCCCTTTGCAATTGGAAAATTACCTAACAAACTGCAACTGTGTCAGAGAAACCCAGAACATCCAAAAGACGGCCCAAGGCCCAAAAGTAGTGTGCATTGCTTCATAGCTGGGCTCCTGCTGGGTAGCTTCAGGCAGAGGCTAAATTAACACCTCCTTATACATCCAAGAGCCAGTGTACCCAGTGATGAGAGTGGGACCATCCAGATTACAACACCTCAGATCCATAAGGGCCACACTCAGGGGGCAGACTCAGTGAGCACCAAAGCCCCACTGAAGCAAGTCTTGCCCCAGAAGGGTGTCTTCAGCACAGAAGCTCTCCCACTGCAGACACAGCTGATTCTCACTGCCAATTGGCCTGGAGGTCAATTCCTCCCAGTGATCCTACAACAATCAAGACATAACTACAACAAGACTGTGCACAAAGCCCAAAAGGGGGTGCACCAAGAGTGTCCACCTCAGGTAACGGGGGAGGCTGAGCCACTGGGCCCTACCGGACACCTAGCACACAAAGACACTCTATCAACACAGGGAAGCCGCCAAAATGCGGAGACAAAGAAACGGGTCACGAATGGCAGAACTGGAGGA